GGAGCGGACTATCTGTCCGCGGGCGGGCAGCAAGATGTTGGCCTTTGCGGCCAGGACCATGGTGAGTGCGGTTGGGTGGACGGTCCAATTGGCCCTACACGGGAATGGACGGGACGGGACGGGAGGGCCACGGGAAAGAGCAGGCTATGCAGCTGCTCCGGAATGAGGAACCGGGCCACCGCGGTGACACAGCAGGGTGGCACTGAGAGGCCGCTGCCCGGCCTGGCTGCCCACTGAGGTCAGCAGGTGGGGTGGGGTCCGCGGTTGGATTTCTTTGGTTTGGCAGAGGAGGAGAGGTGGGTTTGAACCCACCTCCTGGAGCGCTAAATTCTAACGACCTGGAGAGGGCAGTGCAAGGCCCTGGCTTCAGGCAGCACCCCCACCCCAAACGCTGTGCCTGTGTTGAGGGAGACAGGCAGGGAGTGCCCAGCCTGGCACCACCCTCAGTTACTCAGGCGGCCCTGAACTCATGCTGCCCCTTCTCCAGCTGGCCAGACTCCTTGGAACTGTCTCCGAAGAATCAACCTTCAAAAACACCGGAGATGTAGCAGGTGTCACCACCATCAGCCCCAACCTCCTGGGCTGGCCTAGCCACATCTGCCCCCACACTTCCCCAGAGAACAGCCGGGAGAAACCATGCTCCCTCCCTGCTTGGGAATCCTGCCCTTGCTAATCCAGAGATATCTCTGCTTGTATCTCCCCTGCATGGGCCAAGAAGGATAGTTAAACAGACACTACCAGGCCCGAAGGGCTGAAGGGACCTGGCTGCCCTGCTGGGAGGCCGGCTTAGAGGCTCTTGAAGGCTTCCCTGGGCCCTGACGCCCCTCCTTATCCTTGCCACCGCCACTGTAGGGGCCTTCATGCTATCCATAACCCCCTGGTCATTCCCCAGGAGCCACCTGGCTGGCTGACCTGATGGTATACCTGCTGGGGAAACTGAGGCAAGGCTTACAGTTAATGCTCAGAGCCCTCCACTCTCGGTCCCCAGGCTTCATGAGCTGGAACAAAACGAGGGAAACCAGGTCTCCCAAAAGACCTTAAAAGTCCTGAAGCTGGGATGGGGGTGAGGGGGTGGGAGGGGACAGGCAGGGTTCTTGGCGAGTACTGCCCACCTCTGGTCCTCCCCAGGTCCCGATTCCAGGGCTGACTGAGAGGAAGTGGTGTAATGTCGGCAGGCCAGGTAGTTTCTGCCCTCCAGCCAAGTTTTCCGTCATCAGAGTCAACAGGTGGATTATTAAATAACTTTTGGCCAGCCTCCCTGGGGTTGAGCCCAGAGGAGAAAACGAGAACATTTCCTACTCCAGTGCCCACCTCCGAGGTTCACCTGCTCCCCGCTCTTCTGCTTCGAGAAGCAAAGGGAGGTAGAGCAGTGGCTTGAGCAGTGGTTCTCCACCTTCCTAATGCCTCGACCCTTTCATACAGCCCCTCGTGTGTGGAGATCCCCCAACCATAAAATTATTTTCGTTGCTACTTCATCACTGTCATGTTGCTACTGTTACGAATCGGTCGACCCCTGTGAAAGGGTCGTTTGACCCCCAAAGGGGTTGACCCACAGGTTGAGAACCGCTGGAACGATTCCCCCGGCGCCTGCCTCCCCCTGAATCTTGGCTCTTGTCTTCTCTCTCCAGCCCAGGCAGGCGGCTGTCTCTTGCTAGGTTCTACTCGCCCGCTCAGTAGCACAGTTAGGCTTAGAGATCCAGCCCAAGGCAGACAGACAGACAGGGCTCAGGACCTCAGTCCTGCCATGGAGGACAGGCAGCAGGGAGAGAAGGTATGGAACGGAGCCTATGCGCTTGCCTCTCCACTGCCTCCGACCCTCTTGTCTTTTGTCCTCTGGCCTCCAGCTTCTCTGGGACTCTCTCGCCCTCCATGCCAGGCTGCTTAGCTCTCTGGTCCTAGCAGCGCGCGCACCCCTCCCCTCCTCCCGCTGCCAGGCAGACAGGGTCTGAGGCCTGGCCTCATCCCAGGTGCTGTCCTCTGCTGGCTCTCTCTGGTGTTCCCTTCTTCCTGTTGCTCAACATGGAAAGGCTGGGAGTCCCGGGAGGAGTAGTCACCTCTATGGTGGCTGGCTCCTTTTCCCAAGATTAGAAAGGTGGGGCCCCGGTGCATCCAGGCAGACGGGAGGTCCCTGTCGTGCACCCCCACCCCCACAGGTGCCATCCCTCCCAATGTGGTTCCCTGAGGCCTGCCAAGATCAATGGCCACACCCTGCCCTCCCTTCTCCCTAGCTGCATCTCCAGGCCCCTACAGGATGGGGACACCCACAGCCCCAGGGCTTGGGGCCTGGCGTGTACAGCACCGCCCAGGAGGCCCTCTCTGCCCTCCTGATGACCACATAAGGGCCCAGGCCAGTAGCTTGGGCTTGGCAGGACCTCCTGTCCCACGCCGTGAGGGAATGAGCGGGATGTTCTGCTGCTTGCAGGTGAAGCCCCTCAGCTTCCTCAAGCCCACCTCCCTGACGAAGGTTTCCGGCCGCTTCAAGGCGCACCAGGATGCGCTGCCGCGGCTGCCCGTGCCCTCCCTGCAGCACTCACTGGACCACTACCTCAGCGCGCTGCAGCCCATCGTGAGCACGGAGGAGTGGGCGCAGACCAAGCAGCTGGTGGATGAGTTCCGGGCCCCAGGCGGTGTTGGGGACCGCCTACAGAAGGGGCTGGAGCGCCGCGCCAAGAAAACAGAGAACTGGGTGAGTGCAGCAGCAGGGAGCACACCCTGGCACCCCTCACTTCTCATGGGGAGGGGCCCGCAGACAGGTCCAAGGCACTCCTCACTGTCCTACGGGCTGCGCCCAACTTGCGCACCCAGGCCACCGTGCTCTTCACCCTGGGACTTTGCTGAGCGCTTGCTCTGGCCCCAGGCAGGGCTCTGGGTGGGCGTGGGGCTCGGAGTAGACATCCACGTGTTGGGGGAGGTCCAGGGGGCAGGAGTCTCTAAGCGTTTTCCACCTCACTGTAAAGTCAGAAGGGGACCCCCTGGCCCGAGCCATCACCCCAAGGGGAGGAAGACGTCAGCATGGTGAACTCAGGGGCCTGGCAGGAAGAAGGTGTGCTGATGGTGGCAAGGGGCCAGAAGGGGCTGTGGGACCTCCAAGTGGAGATGTGGGATGGGCAGGTGGAACTCTGACCCCGGAGCTCCATGGAATATCACCCAGGACGTGGGAGTTATTGTGTGTGGGTAGCAGGTACTGAGCTGGGGGCGGCGCTCAGCCTTGAATTCTAGAATTAGGCCACTGGCCCTGGAAGGACCCCAGAGGCCGGGGGCCAGTGGGTTTCCAACTTTGGTTTGTTTGCAACTCCCATCTCAAACAGAAGCTTCTGACTGAAGGGGTGGAGGCATCCCCTCTCCACCTGGGGTGCCCCTTGGGGGTCTCTACTAGCCCCCAGCTCATCTGAGGTGGCACTGCCCCTGTGGGACTTCCTCATGTCTCCCAAGCTCCAGCGACTCCTGTCAGTGGAGTAGAGGCTCCTGGCTGGAAAGCAGCCAGCTCTGTCCCCAGGGGAAGGGAGCGCTCCTCTGGCCCAGCCTGCTCTCAGTGCCTTCCTAGGTGGTCAGTCTCCTTGATCCACAGAGGAGGAAGCTGGGGCCCAGAGAGGTAGACCAAAGCCCAGAGCCACACAGTAGTTCTCAAGAGGACCCTGGCTGATTCAAGGCTCTAGTCCTCTCTTGCTAGCCTGCTATCCAATCTGGGACAAGTCAACCCCGAGCTCTGGGCCCTGGGGCCCAGAGCTATTGGCCAGGTCACCCACCCCAGACAAGCATTCTCCCAAAGATAGCCTTGTGGTAAAGGGACACATCCCTCTCTGAGATGGAGTGAGAAAGCCCGGTGGGGCCCTAGGTCCCCAAGGGTTAGGGGGGCTGCCAATGAGAGGAGGCTTGGGGGCCTTCGCTATGGGGGTGGGTGGGAGGGGAATTCAGTCAGCCTGTAAGCCTTGCTAGTGGCAGTCACCCGGGAGTAGGGGCTGTGCACAGCTTCAAGACCAGATTCTGTGACAATGTGCCCATGGGAAGGTGACCCCCGAGAAACACTGTTGTCCCTGCCAGAAACTGCCCTGATGCAGGGCAGAGGACAGACATCAGGGAGGAGGCGCAGCATGTCGTCCAGCCACACCTTGTCACCAGGACAATGATTTACCTGTGCCGGGAGCTTCCCCCCACGTAGCCCAAACCCTGAGAGCATCCACAGGGTCAGAGGAAGTGTTTGCACCCCAGGACAGCCCAGTCCACAGAGGACCAGGGTCTGCTCTGCCACCCTGATCCCCTCCCCTACCCCCTCTTTGGAGAATCTCAGCCCGGACTGGTCGAAAGCTCATCCACTGCCCTTTCTCTGTGTAAGGTCCCCCATTTTTTCTCTATCTGGCTAAGCAGGCATTTTTATGTGCAGTAGTATTACCACTAACAGGAACCTTGGAAAATAAAGAAAACTCGTTCACTTTCCTTCTTTCTTCCCCGGGCCCAGCTTTGTGGGTTTTTTTGTTTTTAATACTTTTATTGGGGGCTCTCACATCTCTTATCACAATCCATACGTTCCTCCAGTGTATCAAGCACCTTTGCACAGATGCCGCCATCATCATTTTCAAAGCATTCTCTTCCCACTTGAGCCCCTGGTGTCAGCTCCCCGTTGCCTCCCCCTCCGTCCCCCGGCCACCCTCCCTCCCAAGCCCTTGATGAGCTATACTTATTATTTCCATGTCGTACATCGTCCTCCGCCCAGGCCCAGCTTTGCTTCCCGTCTTGTTTCCCGCTCAGATTATTTCTGTTTGGTGTGGTTTTGGGTTTTTTCCCTCCTCTCGGATGCTTATTGGCTCGGGCTAAGGGGATGATGATGGGAGTGCGGTCAGAGGGTTGACGTTGGGGGCGGGGGGTGCTCCAGAGCTGCGCTGCCCACCCCACGCATGGCCAGCAGCAAGAATGGCCCGGCTCCGCTGCAGTGAGACAGCAAGTGCAGCAAGAGCTGGGTGCCCGTCCAGTCCATGAGCAGATGCCATCAGCGAAGGAAAGCGCAGACATTGCCCACGGAGGGAGTCCTAGGGAAGCGTGGTGGCTCCCAGCCGTCAGAGGCAGGGAGCAGCCTAGCTCTCGCAGGTTGCTCTGGAGAGAGACTGGAATGCAGAAGAGGGTCCCAGGGAAGACCAGGCATAGGGTAGGTTTTTGCTTGAGGGGGACCGAGGAGGTTATGTTAATGATGGTGGAATAGCCAGGTGAAAGGTAGAGATTGTGTAACATGCAAAGTACACTCCACATCAAGTGAAACAGCGTCCTGCATCTGCTGCCCGGTCCATTTCGGCTCAGAGATAGCAGCCGCATTGGACGGAGTACAGTGACAGCCTGGGGCTGCTGAGGTTATAAATCCTTAAAGACTGCCTCACCTTTCTCCCATGAAGCGGCTGCGGGGTGTGAACTGCTGGCCTCTGGTTTGCCCACCACACTCCCGAGGCTCCTTCATTGTACACCTCATTCATGGGGTTGATTCTGATTCATGACCACCCTACAGGGCAAAGTAGAAGGGCCCCTGGGGGGCTGCCGAGATTGTAAATCTCGGTGAGAGCAGACAGTCTCCTCATCCTCCTGCAGAGCGCCTGGGGGGTGGGGAGGGGGCCGGAGCGCAGTGTGGAGCCCACGACACCCCTGGCTCCCTTCCCGGGGATTTGTTTGTTGTGTATGTTTCACCACCACGTGAGAGAGTCGGAAGTGTCGTCCGACAAGGTACGCAGAGTCTGTGGTTGGTGGAGGGTCCAGCCAGGTCCCCTCCGATTCCTGATGAGTGGCCCTTCCCCTCAGCTCTCCGAGTGGTGGCTCAAGACGGCATACCTCCAGTACCGCCAGCCTGTGGTCATCTACTCCAGCCCCGGCCTGGTGTTGCCCAAGCAGGACTTTGTGGATCTGCAGGGTCAGCTGCGGTGAGTGGTTGGTGCTGGGGGCCGGTTGGGGAGAGGACCGGCCAGCAGTCAGAGGGCAGGACTCCAAGCATTTTCAAGGTCCTAATGTCCCCTGTCCCAGGGGAGGAGGCGAGGTGGGCTCACCTTCATCCCCCCAAACAGCCTTCTGTGAAGTGGGGAGCATCAGCCTTAGTTTACAGATGCGGAAACTGAGCCTTAGAACCAGCCAAGGTCATAGTTGAGCATGGACCCAGTCGGGCTAGGGCGCAGGATTTCTCCAGCAAAGTCTCCTGTTAGCCACCAGTCACCAAGACCCCCAAACCTTGGAGTCCCCCGCCCCATCACAATCTAGTCACTCACTTTCTCCTGGGTTCTAGGTTTGGCCACCAGGATGACCTTTGTACACAGTCCTCTGGCCCACATTTGGCCTCATCCTCTTTCCCTGGCCTCTGTTCCAGTCCTTGCAGGGATAAAAATATCAGCCTGGGGATCTCCTTCCACTGCTCGGGGCTACCACCTGCTGCCCTTAAAGGGACCTGGGCACCCTGGGGGAGAGAGGGTGGGTTCAGCCCCAAGGACTTTGTTAGGGACCAAGGGCAGCTCCCGGCCTCAGACTGGCTGATGTCATCAGGAAGCCCCCCTTCAGACCCAGACCATCCAGGGAGGGAGGTGGCCCCAGGACCCAGAGGGGGCAGGGATCTTTCAAGCCACTGCCCTCTGAAGGACACCCATGCCCCCACAGCCCTGCCAGGTCCCTCCATAAGCGACGCTTCAGGGCAGATGACACCCCACAGCCCTACGCCAGGCTGTTGATCAGGACCTGGGGGCCGTGGAGGTGGAAGCCGCCAGCACTGAACCTGAATCCCGCTGCCACATGTTAGCCGTGACGCGTTGCCCCAGCCCCTTGACCAACAGCTCCTCCCTGCTTGCACACCTTCCTTCTGGAGATTGCAAGAGCAGCGAGCTCAGGGTGCAGGAGTGACACAACCAGCAGCCAGGCCCTCGGCTCTGGGCCCTGGGGTGCTGCAGTCACACCTGATCTCCTCTGCTTGTCCCCAGGTTTGCGGCCAAACTCATTGAGGGTGTGTTGGATTTCAAGGCCATGATTGACAAGTGAGTAGCCCCTCCCCCACCTTCTTCTGCCCCCTCCCAGGACATGCCTAATTACCAGAGCCACCCCACACTGGCCTGCCACCTGCGTCGTAGGTCCTTTGCACCTGCTGCTGTGACTGTCTCCTGATGACGCTGTCCTGGGAATCCCCCCCAACGTGCACCATCCCAGCCAAAGACCCCAGCCTCCTGTTGCTCTCATTGCAAACCCAGCGGGGGGTTTGCAGGGTGCCTCCGAGGAGGGCCAGCCGCTGAGAGCACTCCCCAACCCTGCCACCAGGGGGCCTTACTGATCAGGTCCCTCCTTCCAGTCCTCCTGTCCCCATGTCCTGGGCCCAGTGGTGGTGGCCTCACTGTCCCTCTGTGCCCACAGTGAGACCCTGCCCGTGGAGTACCTGGGGGGCAAGCCGCTGTGCATGAACCAGTACTACCAGATCCTGTCCTCCTGCCGTGTGCCAGGCCCCAAACAGGACTCAGTCGTCAACTTCAGCAAGACCAAGAAGCCGCCCATGCACATCACCGTGGTCCACAACTACCAGGTGGGGGGCCTGCCAACCACAGCTGCGGACCCCCACCTGGCCGGCCATGGGGGCAGAGCATGGCCCAGCACGTTCCTTCCATTGGCTCCCAGGAATGTGTGTGTGGGGGCCTTGCCGCCACCGCTGGGTGCCCAGGCCTCCTCCCCTCTCCTGCTAGGCCTGAGTCCCAGGCCCCGGGCCCCTCCTCCACCCCACCCTACCACCCCCCCACCCCCGAGCGGCAGTGGCTGAGGCCCAGAGTAGGCTGGTGTGGGGAGGTGACCGCTTTCTCTCTGGCCCCGGGCAGTTTTTTGAAGTGGACGTGTACAACAGCGATGGGACGCCCCTGACCGCGGACCAGCTCTTTACACAGCTGGAGAAGGTGTGGAACTCGTCGCTGCAGACCAACAAGGAGCCCGTGGGCACCCTCACCTCCAACCACCGCAACTCCTGGGCCAAGGCCTACAACACGCTCATCAAAGGTGCTGCCCACTCCTCCGGACCGCTGTCCCCACACACACAGGACGAAGCCAGGGCTCCTTCCGACAGTTCCTCTTGGGGCTCCATTCTGCACCCTCCTGCTGAGGAGCCCAACTCTGCCTCCACACCCACTCAGCCCTCGGCCTGCCAAGGCAGGGTCCCGAGTCAGGCCACCCACTGGGCGGTGCTCCCTGCCACGCCCGCTACCCGGGTGGTCTCAGGCTTCTGTTGCCTCCATGAGTTTGGCCCTTCCTCACCCGGTGCTGTGAGACTGGAGCCCTTTACCCCCATGCCCACTGCCCCAGAATGCTCCAGACGCCAAGCCTCGCCCCCACCCCTGTAGGCAGCAGAGGGGTCCCATGGGCTGGGAGAACGCCACCACCACCACCCCACCCCCGCTCCCTGCCCACAGACAAGGTGAACCGGGAGTCGGTGCGCTCCATCCAGAAGAGCATCTTCACCGTGTGCCTGGACGCGCCCATGCCACGGGTCTCGGAGGACATGTACCGCAGCCACGTGGCTGGGCAGATGCTGCACGGCGGGGGCGGCACGCTCAACAGCGGCAACCGCTGGTTTGACAAGACGCTGCAGGTGGGCCGCCCTGTCCCCCCACCGCCCATCCCCTCTCCCTACCTGACCTCCCCCTCGTAAAGCAGGCAGGGAGCCAGCAGGCAGGACGCTCCCGTAATTACTGGGCAGCAGCAGCCTGTCATTATAGGGCCCCCGGATAATTAGAGAAGCCACCGGATGCGCCTCTTCCGGACCTGGGTAGAGAGCTCGGGACCCATGATTTCCCGCTTGGTGCCTGCCCGCCGCAGGGTCATTGCCAGGGCCCAGGGCAGCACGCTGATGCAGGGGAGCTGTGGGGCTTCACAGGAGGGAGGGGCTCAGCTCTGCCTTCGAGGACTGACGGGCACCCCGCCCCCACCCCACAGTTTATCGTGGCAGAAGACGGCTCCTGTGGGCTCGTGTACGAGCACGCGGCGGCAGAGGGCCCCCCCATCGTGGCGCTCTTGGACCACGTCATCGAGTTCACGTGAGTACAGGTCATCCCGCGCCCCCTCCCCAGTGCCTGGGGACAGGGCTCTCCATCAGGGCATCAAAGGAGGCCCGCAGGGGGCGTGGGTGCAGACTCAGACCTGGGCTCTGCCACTACTAGTTGTGTGACTTTGGGGGCATCTCTTCTCTCCAGCCCTCAGTGGGGCCAGCTGGGGGGGCTGACCCTGACCAGCTTCAGGGAACCTGTGCTCCCCACCCTAGCCCAGACACCTGGAGGCCTGACCCCATGTTCCATGCAGGAAGAAGCCCGAGCTGGCACGGTCACCCATGGTCCCCCTGCCCATGCCCAAGAAGCTGCGCTTCAACATCACCCCAGAGATCAAGAACGACATTGAGAAGGCCAAGCAGAACCTGGGCATGTGAGTCCCGCCCCAGGTCTGCCCCCACACCCTGCTCTGGCGCCACTCCGGGAAGCCCCTGGAGTGAGCTGGACCGACTGGGGACCCGCCCCCTCCCCCACCCCTTTCCCCGCCCACCTGCAAGCCTGGCACCACACCAGTTGCCCGCCTGACACGCCCTTTGGCTCCCTGCCCCGCTTGCAGCATGATCCAGGACCTGGACATCACGATGGTGGTGTTCCACCACTTTGGAAAAGACTTCCCCAAGTCTGAGAAGATGAGCCCGGACGCCTTCATCCAGATGGCCCTGCAGCTGGCCTACTACAGGTGCGTCCCGCTGCCTGCGGGGGAGGGGGAGGCAGCAGGCCACCTGCGAAGGTGCTCAGCTCTGTCTCCCACCCAGGATCTACGGGCAGGCATGCGCCACCTATGAAAGTGCCTCCCTGCGCATGTTCCACCTGGGCCGCACTGACACCATCCGCTCGGCTTCCATGGACTCGCTGGCCTTTGTCAAGGCCATGGATGACGCCAGCGTGGTGGTGAGTGGCCCCCTCCCAGCCAGCCGCCCTCTCACCACATCCTGACTGACGGAGGGCCTGCGGCATTCCACCTGACTTAGGCTGAGCTCCCTGCAGCCAACAGAGACTCAGGACTATCCACTCCTTCACCCACTAGGATCACCAGAAGGCAGAGCTGCTTCGGAAGGCCGTGCAGGCCCATCGAACCTACACCGACCTGGTGAGTGAGGCTCCCCGGCATCCCCCAGCCGTGGTCTCTCCGCCTGTCTTGCTCGATAGTAAATGACCACCAGCGCTCAGCTAGAACCCACACTGCCCCGTGCCTCCCCCTTTTAAAAGTGGAGAAACTGAGGCTGGGCCCAATTACGGCCCCGGGGCTCGCAGCTAACTCAGCCACATGATCTTGTGTCCTGTGCCTTCCCTCTGACCGGGAGGCTGCCGCAGCCTGGGTTCTCGGCCTGGTTCTGTCTGAGTGCTGGTCCCGCGGCAGCCCCTGGCCGACGGAAATCCACGTAGCCCTCACTGCCGCCCTGCGGGGACCAGCCTGTTGGAGTGCTCACCTCAAGGTCCCCATTTCAAAACCCCCAGACGCTCCACAGGAGGAGGTGGCTTCTCCCGAGAAGGGACAGTCTGGGGAACCCACAGGGGCAGTTCTGCCCTCTGCTCGAGGCTCGCTGTGCGTGGACAGCCACCTGAGGGCAGGCCAGGCGGGGGTCTGTTCCCTTTGAGGCAAGCTCAGCAATGTCTCCGCTTCGCACGTGCAGACACTGAGGCTCCAAGACATAAGTGGCCTGCCCACCCGCCAGCCCGAGCCAGGACGTGCCAGGCCACCCTGCTCCAGAGCCCAGACTCTACCCTATACTGTCTCTCTTGGCAGGTCTCTGCCCCTTCGTGTGCCTCAGTTTCCCTGTCTGTGACGTGAGGGCTCCCCTGGTGGGACATCCTGGTCTCAAGATTCCCAAGTGGATGGGTGGTGCTGCCACGTGCGGGCTTCTGAGGAGAGCAGGGACGCCCTGCCCCGACAGCGCCCCTCCTGAGGACCCTTGCCTCTGCAGGCCATCCGAGGGGAGGCGTTCGACCGGCATCTGCTGGGCCTGAAGCTGCAGGCCATTGAGGACCTGGTGAGCATGCCCGACATCTTCATGGACACCTCCTATGCCATCGCCATGCACTTCAACCTCTCCACCAGCCAGGTGGGCCGCTCACCCAAACCCCGCCCCGAGTCCCCAGCAGGGGGCGGGAGGGAAGAGGGTTTGCAGGGAGCTGGGGGGGTTGTGCAAAGGGGAACCAAGACCTACCTGACTGGTGTGGGTTGCCTAGGCCACCAGGGGCTGCTTATGCAGGCTGAGAAGGGGCCCTGGGGTCAGAGACACGATGGGAGAGTCGGCCACGTTCCTGCACTTGAAAGACATGAGTGGGTGAACCACGGCCCATGCCGGCTATGCTGGGGGTTCTGAGAGCCCCAGGGAGGGAACGTGAGAGACAGTCTGGTCCTGTCAGGGAAGGTTCCGTAGCAGAGCTGACAACAGAAGTGGTCCCTGCAGGAAGGACAAGAGGAGGGCCCCACGTGCTGGATGAGGATGCTGTGGTGCAAAAGCTTAGAGACCCCGGAAGGCAGGCCGCGCTGGGGAGCCAGCGGGGAGGGAGGGGGTGAGCTGTACTCTGTGCTGTCCCCAGGTCCCTGCCAAGACAGACTGCGTCATGTGCTTTGGGCCCGTGGTGCCAGACGGCTACGGCGTCTGCTACAACCCCATGGAGGCCCACATCAACTTCTCCGTGTCAGCCTACAACAGCTGTGCCGAGACCAATGCCGCGCGCCTGGCCCACTACCTGGAGAAGGCCCTCCTGGACATGCGTGCCATCATGCAGAGCCACCCCCGGGCCAAGCTCTGAGCCCGTGGGCTCGGGCTGCCGGAGCCACAGCCAGGACCTGATCTTCTGTGCTGAGGGGGGCCTCCCTTCTCCCCGCTGGCTCCCCCAGATCTGACTGAGCCGAAGGGATAGGACAGCCCCTCGTGGGACCTGTTAGCCCAACCCAAGTGCCTTCCATGGGTCATCTCAATGCCTGCTCTGACCCTCGAGTGTGGGGTGGGCTTGGAGGCTGGGCAGGTGGTAGAGTCCAGGCCCCTTCCAGAGGGCCAGCGTGTGAGCCTGGGTCATAGTCCCTGCCCTCACCAGCTCCACTCCGGCCAGGCCCTGCCCTCTCTCCTCTCCGGAGGCAGCTGTTATCTGATCTCCACTCTGTCCAGAGCCTGGAGACAGGTCACTTCCCAGAGCTCAGGGGGTCTAGGCCACTGGGGCCTCTCTGTGAGCAACACCTGAGAGACCCCGGGTTGGGCACCGCCCAGTACAGGTGAGGACGGAGCCTCCCTCCGCCCTGTGTCAGGGTGCTTGCTGTTCTCCGAGGGCGACCATGGGCTCTGGTTCCTAACGGGACTCAGCAGCCTAGCCCTCTCACTTCCACCAAGCTAGAGCCCTGGCCGTGCTCACGGCCGCTGTATGTTGTCACCAGAGGAGGTACTCAATAAAGGGACACTATTGGTAAAGAGATGCTGCAGCGGAGCGGGCAGGTTGGGTGGGATGGACACCTGGCTGGTCTGGAGCCAGTGCCAAGCAGCCAGCGGGAACCCGAGGGCTCAGAGGAAGGAGGTCAGGTCAGGATCCAAGGTCCAGCTCCAGCCAAGTGCCAGGCACAGCCCTGCCCTCTCCCCAAACAACTGCTGGCATGGACCTCCCAGAGCCCTATAGGTGGGGACACCTCTGCAGGGTGCTCCAGCCAGTGGTGGACTGGGCAACCAGCCTGGGCTGACATCCAGGGCCTCCCTCATAACCTCTCGCAGCTCCCTGGCGATGACAATGGAAAATGGAGGTAGAGCGGGCAGGTGTTCTGCCTCCGGCCCTGGCTGCCCTCTCACCTGACACCTGCCCCAGAACACTCCACCCTCCACCCCCACGTACCTGCCGAGATTATTGTGAGACAGCCCCGAGGGAGAGGGTGGACCTGTTTTTCAGATAAGGAAACCAAGGTTCAGCGGTGAAAGTCACCTGGCCACTAGGTGGCAGAGTGGAGATCCCCTGAAGTCAGGCTAGCCCATCCAGCCCAGGGTCCTGGTGGCTCCTAGGGCTAAGCCCCCAGTCCCACTCTGCACCCCACGCCCCCACCCAACCCCCACACACACCCTGGGCAGACAGAGATGGGGAGGCAATGGTGGAAAATGTGCACGGTGCTCAGTGCTCATGACCTGGTGCCTGTGCGGCCTGGGCCAGGTGACTGCAGCCCTGAATCTCCTAGTGCGTCTGTCCCCAGCTACATTCAGGGGTGTCTAAAGGGGCCCTGCCTCCACAGGTGAAGCCTGGAGAGGGCATGCCACTTACTCTGGACCCTTGGGGAGGGAGGGAGGGAGGGTTCCTCTGAGGCCAGAGACCTGGAGGAGGCCAGACCCAGAAGGCCCCACTATGGCTTTGCTCTTGGGCTCTGGCAAGTGTGGCCCTTCCGAGGGTGACCGGGAGTCTTGGGAAGCTTAGCCCACCCAGCTGGATGTAGTGGCTTCTACGTGGACAGCCCAACCTAGGGCAGCAGAAAGAGGGTGACCCAGGGAAAGGGCACAGCCAGGCCAACCTGAACCAGACAGGTGTGCGCCCCCTGCCCCCAATCACCCTTCAGCAGCAAGGGTCTCCCTTCACCTCAGCTCCTGCAGCTCTCACCATCCGGAGCGGCACCCACAATTCTTTGGGGCATCAAGCACTGTTTGGGGAAGACACCTTAGCTAAAACCATCCCAATCCCTGTTGAAAGGAATGCAGAAGAGGATGGAGAAATGATCAAGGTGTAGCCGGTTGTCCCAAGGGTGGGACCCGTGACCTCACGTTTCGAGTGCTGGGTTTGGGAACTAAAGATCTTCAAAGGTCCCTGGGGAAGCAGGGAGGTAGTGCTGGGGGCAGCCCGCGTGAAGCTCAAGGCATTTCCAGATCCCAAAGCACTTTGGCTGTGGGAAGACAGTGGATCCATAAAGTCATTAGGTAAATAGTTCAAATAAATTGAATTATTTACACCTGAGTTAGCTTTTCAATTTCCCTAGTGGCCAAAGATTCAAGGGAAGACCTTCAACAAATTTGTTTGTGTATGCCAAACGTGAGTGCAAAAAACTGAAGTACATTTTATATTACCATTTGAAATGCAACAAGGGAAGACACGTGGCGTTCATGTAAATCCTCTAAACATTTAGAGAGCCGAGTTGACACAGCCTTGATTTTGGGTCTGTGCCCCCAGAAAATGTGCCAGCGTGGGAAACCTGGCACCTGGAAGAGAGTGTATGTGACAAACTCCCACCATTCGTATGCTAAGGAGTCTGGGAAGTCAGGGCTCCCATGGAAGGAACCTTCATGTTTGTGGGTGGGAGATGCGTCCTCCTCACCATTTCCTGTGTAAGTCATTCCCTCCAACGCCCCTCATCACGCCAAGTTCAAGGTACAGTTTGCAAACCCTCGGTCACTCCCTATACTCTTTAATGAAACCTATGGGGCCTTGATTTTTATTGATGAAAATTGGCAAGAGCCGTCAGCAACAAGATGAAGTAATATATAATATACTTTATGAAGTTCACTGTAAATACAATTTAAAATGTTAAACAATAAAATACCCCCCCCCAAATTAAACTAAATTAAAAAAATAAAAACCCTCCCATTCTATCCTGAAATTCCTCTTACTTCACAAGGCACATGCACACACATTTTATTTTCTTCTAAGTGACTATATTATACTGTTATGACAACTGGTTTCACGCTACGTATATGTTTATTTTATGTTGATTCTTCACTCTTTGAATTATTTACAGCTGAGTTAGCTTTTCAATTACAATTATATTTTAAGGTTTACAGTATTTTTATCCCTTTATGTGAAACTTAAAAAAAACACTATTATTCTCAAGTTTGTGTTCTTCAATGGGAAAAAAGAATCTTGTTTGAAATAAGCTATTATGTATAATTCATTGCAGTCTCAAATATGGCTTGCGTGTTCCCAGTTGAAAGGGGTCTTTTTTCATAACTCAGTGTCTTTTATTTTCTTCCCCACAGAAATTAAAATGATCAACATAGTGTTTTTTTTTTCCTTGTGAAATTTCTGCATTCTTTTTTTAAACCATACGATTGGGGCTCATACAACTCTTATCACAATCCACACACACATCAGTTGTGTGAAGCACACTTACACATTCGCTGCCTCATCATTCTCAAAACTCTCGCTTCCCGCTCGGGCTCCTGGCATCAGCTCCCCATTTTTCTTGTCCACGCACTGTGCTCTTGAAGGTGAGCTGCCTGAAGGTCGTCAGCCATGAAAAGCAACGAGGCCCAATTCTGTCCCACCCCCTTCTGATAAGGATCATAGATTGTCACCCCCACCCCCCACCCCAGAAGAGCTCAAAGACTCCTAAGGTCGAGCCAGCTCAGACAACCACGGTTACAACGGCTGCCATGGACTCTAGAGCCCGTCCATCTTGTTACGGATGAGCCTTCCTGTCACATGTGTGCCTCCCCTAGCACTTTCCCCTCCTGTACAGCCCCTCCCTGTTACGTGTGTGCTTACGTTGACCTGCGTGCCCGAGAATCTCATGAGAATACATGAAGCTCTCCCTCTCTGCCCGGACTGGTTCAGTTGCAGAGATTTATCTTGTCTGATGCTTCGTTAATTGATCCCTCAAGAACCCAGCCCACCTGCTGAACCCATTCGGTTGTGGGGAGGCTGGTGCCTGATGTGGCCGGAACCAAGGGGCAGATGTGGAGCAAAGCCGATCTTGAGGGCCGAGAGCCCACAGGAGCTTGGACGAGGGTCAATGCAGGGGTCAGGCTTTAACCCCAGTCTCGGAGTCTGAGGACATGTTGGACTGGGTTTCTTTTAGGGGAGTAGGTGGGGTTGCCAAGAGGCGAGGAATGATTGAAAAAGGCTGGGCTGGGGGTGGGGATGAGGCAAGGGTGGGGAGGCCCGGCTGGCCTCAGGCTCGGATGGGGCTGGCAGGTCCTGGGGATAGACGAAAACGTGGGCTTGTCAGATGAGCAAGGCTTGGCGTCTGCAGCCCGGAAGAAAGCGTTGGGATGGATTCTTGTCCAGTGCTCTGCGGGGAGCACCAGCAGGCTGGTGAGCCACCCTAACTTTCCCTTTTAATTCATCTGCCAGAGCCCACTTTAAGAGTTTTCTATCCCCTGGAAACAATTCCAAGCTTAAAATAGTGGAGCACATTCTTTTCAGATCTCTGCTTTTGATTCTTGTCCAAAACATCGACTAAGAGTGATGGAGTTGCACGTTGGAAACATGTAGTAGTTGGGTGGGGGTCGGGGATAAAAACACCATTCTTACGAAGAAGACATGAATTCTGTCCTGAGTTTAAGTCATAATATAAATTGGTGTCTTTGGGAAATGGTCAGCTTTGTTGTTTGTTTTTGTTTTAAGTGGTCAATTTTAAAGATAAATTGAGTATTGGAATTTCACAGTCACATTTCAACAGTCTTAAATTGTGCATCTTCTTTAATTGTTGAGAATTTTAGAGAAACTTTAGTTGGTAACATCTTATTAAGTGTCAATTTCAGAAAGTAACAAATTATAGTTTCTTAATAACAGACCTACAGTTATTTGATGAAGGACAAATTTATGTACTGGTTAACCTGTATTTGTTAGTTAAACTGTGAAAATAAGGTGGATTACAAGATATTTGGGGGGGTGGGGATGGAAATTAGACTGCAGACTCAGTAAATTTCTACTGGCTGTTAATCTCATTTTTGAACATGGATTGAAAACCACTATAAATGAATTCAGGTTGTAAGCCTAGAGTAGGTATTGGATGCCAGAGGGGTGTTGAACAAAAGTTCCTTCTTAAATCTGTATATATCTACTACCTTAAAACAAAACCAAGAAACCACTTAGAAAAAAACAGGTATCATTAAAATTTCTATAAGCTAATGCTTGGATTCTAACAAATACTCCACTCATTCTAGAATATTTAATTTTAGCTTCTTTTATTTTTAATTGGCAGTATCAAATCTCGTTTTCTAGAAAGCCTGGAGTGAGCTATGCTCAGAACGTCACTTGCTGAAGCATCTCTCACTAGCTCTCCTTTCATGGAAGAAGTTTCTGGCCCGTGCCAGGGGTGAGACTCTCTGGTACTGACTTTGAGACCAAAGGTCATGGCAATGGCAGGTGGCTGAGGGACATTTTCAGCCCAATTTGGGTCTAATTTCTTGTTATCCCTTGATATAGTTAAGGCTTATTGTGCCAACATGGCCAATGAGCACGTGGGATTAGTTGAAGGGCGGAGAGATAAATGGCTCGGTGAGCCTCACCTCTCTCTTGCTCTTTGATCATCGGACCAGTGTGCAGCTGCCTTGCTTGTTCTGTCCCTCAGTTTGCAAGCTACACTACCTGTGGGACACCTAACCCATGGACTGTGTTGCTGTCATTTGAGGTTCCCTCAAGACCGGCTTCACCACGCTACTAGAGTATACATCTCTTGAGATGGGGACTGTCGGACTCTGTCATCTGGCTGACTGTTGGTCACCTGCCTTGCTGCTTGTGCCCGAATAGCTGAATTGCTCTACAGAGAACTACCCGGTGGCCCTCAAGACTTGAAGGACTGCCAGTGTCTCACAGCTGTCTCATGGGAGTGCGTTGAACTGAGCTATTTGTACTGCTTTATAATTTAACTTTATTTCTTATGTTATCTGGCTATCTAAATATATGTACAATTATTAGCGTTTTGGTTTTGTTTCTCTAGAGCAGGGGTCCTCAAACTTTTTAAACAGGGGGTCAGTTCACTGTCCCTCAGACCTGTTGGAGGGCCGGACTATAGTTAAAAAAAAAAAAACGATGAACAAATTCCTAAGCACACTGCACACATCTTATTTTGAAGTAAAAAAACAAACAGGGCAAACCCCCCGGCGGGCCGGATAATTGTCCTCGGCGGGCCACGTGTGGCCCGCGGGCTGCAGATTGAGGCCACCTGCTCTAGAGAACCCGTCTAACATATGCCTCACACTTAACCTTTTCAAAGTCACTCGTGTACGGAGCCTTTTTCCTCACCTAGTCGCTGTTTCTGGCTGCTCTGTCTTGTTCTGCAAGACATGGGGATCAGAAACAACTGGAAGGAGGGGGAAACAGTGTCTTGGTCAATCAAGCACACTGCTTCAAATATCAAACATTATTCTGAAGGAAATTAAAACTACTAGAAATACTTGGATATCCCTTTTTCCTGTGGAAGCTTTTCACACACACACACTTGTTCAGGAGCTATGGTACAGACTTGGTTCCCACCCCCTTTGAGAAATGGTTCTTTTTTTAAAAAAAAAATGGTTCTTCATTCTGGGGTTTTAGAAGGTTGGAAATATTTTTCAAGAGAACTATGGTACTCACAATAATGAAAGGCGGTCCTGAATTGTCTGTATTTCATCACTTTACCACCTTCGTTTTTCCAAGAACTGCAGTACCATTTGAAACCTGCTGCTGACCAGCACTTCGTCTATTAAAAATGCTCTTTTTGAAGAAAAAAAGTTTGAAAGTCTCTGATTAGCCATAGTATGGTCTTCATTGAGAAATCGGAACTGTTTTTCTTTGTGAAAACTGTGGAAAATGCAAGTGTGGGTGTGACTTTGCATTGAAACAATGTCATTTTGCCTTAAAAAAATAGTGGAGTAAATAGGAAAACTCGCCTTCTTCATAAAAGGAAACCAGTTTAGTCTGTCCCTGATCACCCAACGTCTCTGATGAACTGTCTCCGTGGCCTGCTGCTTCTACGGCTCTCATCACGGTGTCTGCCACCCTTGAACCTGGGTGTCCTCGTCTCCATTCTGGCTAGTTTACGAACTGGTTACCCAAGTTAAGTTGGAGGCTCGGGGGAAGGGCCCTTCTTCGTCACTGCTACACTACCTGGGCTCTCGGACTGAGACCACCTTCACTGGCATGCCATCAAGGGTCTCCGGAGTCCTGTGCTGGGCTGCGGGCAGGCAGGTCACCGGCGGAGACCACCGGCGGCTCCCACAGGAGGGAGCGTGGCCTCTACTCCTGTCAACCAGAGTGCTCGCCTGCCCCGAGGCTGCTGCGTGTCGGAATCAGCCTGGTGACAAGGAGCTTTGGGGTTCTGAGGGGGGAGACCTGGTGGCAGGTGTGCATTGCATCCTGGGTTGCTAAATTCTGATGTGCCAGCCTCTGCAGGAGCAAGCAAGCTTTCGGCTCCCGTCACAATTCTCAACCTCGGAACCCCTCAGGCCAGTTCTGGGTCCTACAGGGTCACCGGAAGTCGGGATCCACTCGGTCGAGGGCGGTGGGTCTCGGATTGATGGACCACTTGACAGAGTCGGCGGTGCTGTGGGAGGGGACCCCCCCGGGGACACACACACACCCCCCCCCCACTGAAGTCAGAGCTGACCGTTCAAACCCCCGGCTGCCCTGGGGGAGAAAGCGGAGGCTGTCTGCTCCTGTGCAGATGGACAGACAGTAGTGCTGGTCTCTTCTGTGGGCTCTCCGGGGGGCAGGACCGACTCCATGGTGGGGGGAACAGGCCCAGGGGCAGACGGACACCCCGATTTCAAGCCCACAAGAGGACTCAGTTACTGATTCTCCCGCAGCTGAAGGCCTGGCACGGTGACACTCCCACATGCCAATTGCCCGGGCTTTGCCGTGTGTGTGCACATCATGCCGATGAGGCTCCGGCCGCCTCACCCAGTGGGTGAGGTACGCACTCCACAAATACAAAATGAAACCAGATGGAGCCGTTTCTCCCAGCAGATGAACCCAGTCCTGATGCCACGGGAAGGGCGGGTGACCTAGGTTGTACTGAGGGGAGCCCCGGCTGACAGGGACCACCCAGGGGGCCAGGCTGGAACTACAAAGGAGGGATGAGATGGGTCCCTGTGACTGGGAGTGGTCTGGAAACGGGAAGCTGGGTCTCGGAGGTCTCCTCCGGCTGGCGGGCGGGAGCCGGAGGCCGGACACGCCAGGGGAAGCGTGCCAGCACTGCTCAGGCCCTGCTCTGGGTGCTGGCTGAGTGCTTGGCTGGGTGGTGGATGCCTGGATGTCAGGGTGGTCGTAGCCCCGCCACCCTTGGAGGTGGCCTGCTCCCACGAGTTCAGGTCTGCGTGCTCAAGCCGTCAGTTCATGGTTTTATTTGAAAACAGTCGTAAACAATTTCAATGATTTTCCTTAAATCAGTCCACCTCACACTTGGCTTGTCCCAGGCAAGAAGTAAAAAAAGGGGGCGAGGAGGAGGGAAACGTGGGGCAGGCCACCTCCCCCGAAGCACGCGGCCTGGGGCTGAGCTGGCTCTTACGAAGGAGGAAGGGATGCACTAGGCTGGGCTGCGGTTAGGACCCCCAAGAAAGGGCGGGGCGCGGGCTCCAAGCACTTCCAACAGCCTGGGAAAGCTCCGCTCCACAGCGCCTGCTTGGGGGTGGGGTGGGCGATTAGAAACCAGGCCCCTGGGGGGGCTCTCCCTGGAACAGGGACCCAAGGGCCAGGGCTAACCCCACTCGGGTCTCCAGCCCGAGACTGGGAGAAAGGACAAAGACGTTCCGGGAGGTGCCCCATGAGGCACCCCTGCTCCCTTCCGCCCCTCCCTCCAGCACTGGGTGCTTTGTTGGAGTGGGGGGTGGGGGGTAGGGAGGGGGCACGGGCTAAAAGCTACCAGATGGCAGGACAAAAAAGCTGTCAACAGCTTGGGTTCGCTCACCCACAAGGTACAGGCTCTTTTGTCGGGACGGGGGACCAGACAAAGCCCTTGTGGTCGAAGGTCAAAACGGGTTCAAACACAATGATAACCGCCGCCAGACGCGCGCACTCTGGGCCCTCGCCCCAGACGAGGAAACACTGAAGGAGGTTCTGGAATGGCAATGGGGGCGGGGGCGAGGGTGGGGCGGCCTCCTCCTGGCCTTCCAGGCCACCTCTCAGGCCCAGGGGAAAGCAGTCCACCCCTGAGCTCAAGGCCAAGGGCCTGGGAAGCTGGCCTGACCCTCCGTGGGCAACTCGGCCACCGCACAGCAGGCTCTTCCGGCCTCAGCTCCAAAGTCCTACTCGCCTTTGACAAAATTAAAAAAAAAATAAATAGTGCGTATTTCTCACCCCACCTGGCTGGCCTGGCCTTAGGAGCGGAGGCACAAGCCTTTGTCCTCTCCCCCATACCCTGGTGCCCATCCAAGGGCACTTCCCGCCCGACCAGGGGCTGGCAACAGCACCACGAGGGTCTCTGGCCTGTGGCCCCCAGCTGGGTCCTGGCAGAGGGGCTGGCTCAGCCCTTTGGTCCACCGTACTCATTACAATTAAAACAAGAAAACAATTAAAAGGCTTCGCTTGGTGACTTGGGTCTGAAGAGGTCTGGGATCCCGCTGTTCGTCACCCTGCAAGTCGAGGTACCGGCCAGATCTGGGGGCCAGGCAGGCCACACCCACCAGTCACTGCAGTTTTGTCCCCAGTTTGCGCTGCCTGTTCCTGGAAAATGGGATGGGGCTCAGAGTCAGGGGCAGCTGGAGCGCTGTGACCCCACAGCCAGTCCCTCCCCACCCACAGGCTCAAAGAAAGCAACGGGCAGCCGCTGGCCCCATCAGAGCTCCTGTCCCAGGATGGGAGGGGTCCGCTTGAGGAGGGGAAGGGGGTGGGGGAGATGGGGGGGGCAGGGTGCGAGGGGAGGGGAGGGGAGGGGAGGGGCACATGCGTGCATGGACTGCGATGAAGAAAGAGAAGCCAAGTGGCCGGGTTCCAACCTTCACGTGGAGATGCACCCCGGTTGGAGGCAATGACAATCTGGAGCCATGCCAGCAAAGGAGGGGCTACTGGGGGTGGGGGTAGTGGCTTAAGGTTTGGGTTGTGGCCCGGGAATTTGAGGTGAGCAGGGCAGTCACCTAGGGTCTTGAAGAAGGGCAGTGTCTGAGACACAGAAGGGAGAAAGGGGACCCATAAGACCCTGCTGGCCTCAGCTCCCCAGCCGTGGCCCATGTCTTCTCCTCGGGCCACACGGGCGGTCTGTCTGGTACTCACATGGGGTTTCCCCGCTGAGAACACTCCTGCTAGCCCCTGCTGGGCTCTCCCTCCTCACCGTGAGGTCTCCTGGGAAGCCTATCCCTGCCTTGCCCCCTAGAGCGAGCTCCCACTCCCAGTCCTTAGGCCCTGGGTGAGCTGCATCCCACGGCACTGAGTCCACAGGTGGGCACGCCATCCCTGCGCCTCCACCTGGTCACACCTGTGTGCTCTGCCCGACGTGAGACCCCGAGCGCAGGACCCAGGGCTTCTCATTCGGCACTGGGCCCCCCCGCATGAAGCCGGCACCGAGGATCCGGTACAGGAAGGCTGGGGCAGTCAGCCATGGGGACAGGGCAGGGCCAGCTTGGCTGGCCACTCGTGCTGGGGCCAGCTGGGGCCGTTCTTTGTGGATCGGGGGCTGTGCCCTGACACACACCCATTGGGGTCATTTAGATGATGATGTACTGGGCACATTACCGGGCTGCAGCCACCATCTTGCCCAGCCCCGGTCTGTGGCTCCTCTAACCAGCTCCGTGGAAAACCTCCCAGGCATCCTGTGGAGCCTGCCCCACCTCAGCTCCCTTCACCCCTCCGCGCCCCACCCAGGATCAGGGGTCTGTGGAACAGCAGAGTGTGAGTCAGGAGACTCCAAGGCCCGGGTGGCCCCCACTTTGCTGGGTAAGTGCAGGCGGCCCCTCATTCACTTCGCCTCAGCGTATCCTCCCCTGGGAAGATGTCGGCACCAACCAATAAGGGCTGCACCGGGCAGCCTGGGTTCAAGACCCAGCTCCCCACACTAGCAGCCAGACTCGGCCAGGTGGTTGCCCGTCCCTCCGAGCCTCCGGTTCCCACCAATGAGGTGTGAGAGACAAGCGCTCTAGCAAGGGCCAGGCTGGGGGACCCTCCACTGAACGGGCAGTGGCTGTCGAGCAGCGGCCCGCACTCACCTGGCTTCTGCCCGGGTGACTGTGTACTCAAACCAGAGCACGTTGGGAATGAGGCTCGTGTCTCGGATCAGGAAGAACTCAGAGACAGGCCTGCAGGGAGACATGCAGAGAGCAGGGCCACGTCAGAGCGGGGCCGGAGGCCGGTGCTGCCCTTGCACCCACTGCCCAAAGCCACTGAGTGCCCCAGACGTGCCAACGGTGTCACCTCGGCCTGGACACAGCCCAGGCGTGCTCAGGCTGCACCCCAAGTTGCTGGAGCCTAGTTGAGGGCAGAGGATGAGACCGTAGAACCTGGGCCTGAGGAACCGCCCCCCCCATCTCTGCAGCACCCCCCGCCCCACTAGAGGTGGAAGCCAGGCAAGCAGAAGCTGCAGGGCTCAGCCCCTGGGGCCCTGCCTGGGAGCTGCAGCAGGCTCAGCGGCACCCCCCTCGCCCCCCGGTGTCCTCCATCCGTAGGGAGGCATGGGCAGGCAGGAGGCAGTTACCAGGCTGCTATCCTGGGGAACAGCGGGGTGAGGACCTCCTGGGTGAAGACAAACCAGGCGACGGCCATGAGGCTCCCGGCGATGCCCCCGTAGAGCACTTGGGTCCAGGTGTGGTACAGCAGGTAGACCCTGGTCAAGGTCAGAAGGGAATCTCAGGAGAGCTAACCAGAGCGAGGCCTGCACAGTCCCCCATGCCCGAGGGCCAGCGGCCCAGGGACCGGGTGGCCACACGTGCAGACACACCCGGGCAGGATACGGGCTCCCAGGAAGCAGAGCTGCAGATCTGGGAGACTTCTGGGAGGAGGTGGGGGTATGGGCCCCAACAGCTGCTCCCTGTCTCTAGAACTGTGGGGTGGGGCGCTCGGTTAGGATCTGCCTCCCTTCTGTTCAGCCCTTGAACTCTGTGCTCACGTGCACAAGGGGCTCCTCCAGGGCTGGGGACAGATGGCTGACACACGCTAGTGTCCCCCGAGCCTTGGGCCCAGCCAGGAAAAAAGACCAAAGGCTGGGCTGGAATGGGCCACTGGAACCCTGGTTCTTGAAACTGCAGGCGGGGAGCCCTGCCTGGCCCTGCCCTACGGGCTCGGGTCCCGTGGACAGCGGTGTCGGGCGGCTCTCCCTCCCTCGGTACCTGCTGTAGGAGACTAGAAAGGCCGCCGTGAGGAGAGCCAGGGAGAGCACGTGCCTCCACAGCAAGTCCAGGAACCTGGCGTTGTTCGTTTGGTGCATTCTGGGAAAACAGGCCCATCGGACGGCCTCAGTCCACAGCCTGCAGCCCTGGCCTCCCCAGTAGCCCCTGGGCTAATTCACACACTCCCTGGGTGCCTTCTTCCTTGGCTCCAGTCCCTCCCACCCCTAGTGGAGGCCAAGCCCCACGGGGGTGTGCTAAGGGCTAGTGGCGATCCCGGGCAGAGGCCAGCCTGCGCAGCCCGGGGCCACCCCAGCCAGGGCAGCAGGAGCTCACCTTAAATAAAGGAAAAGGAAAGAATAGACGGAGAAGAACCACATGAACTGGGAATGGCTGGAGGGCATCCCGTACTTGGTGCCCACTGTCGTGTGGGGGCCTGTGGGAGAAAGCAGAGTGGGGCATCACGTCACGGAAGGACAGGCCTCCAAGCCATGGCCGGGTTGGGGCCCCGCAGCCCCCAGGGCCAGGACCTACCTCCACAGGGCCTCGGCTCCTGGATGATGTGCTTGATCAGCCAGTTGACCCCCTCGTTCAGTCCCAGGCCCCCGAGGAAGGAGATCTGCTGGGGAAGATGCAGGGTCGGTGCCGGCCACCACCCAGACCACCACTCAGGCGCGGGGACCCCCAGGCCTCTGGTGGCAGCCCCAAGCCTGGCCAAGCGAACAACAGAGCGGTAGCCCGCTGGGAGGCTGCACACTGCTCAGAAAAGCTAGAAGCGGGCGCGGAAAGCAGGCAGCCGGGGAGGCCAGCGAGCTCCCCCATGGGGTGGGGCACCCAGGGCAGGCTCACCGTGTGCAGTTCCCGCTTGAAGATGATGAGGGTCACGAAGCCAGTGATGACGAAAACAGGGCTGAGGCTCAGGCAGGCAAGGAGGTGGCCTGAGAGATCACCTGAGGAAGACAGTGGGGCGGGTGGGGTGGGGCCAGAACCCCAGCAAGGCCCAGAGGCCCCCCAAGTTCGGCCTGCGGGGGCGGTCAGTCGGAAATGCCTCCATCTCCCGGCCATACCAACTCAGTCACAGGCCGAACAGGCCAGCGCCCGTTTACCAAGCCCTGCAGTTCAGACAAAAGGAGCCCGGGTCAGGGTGGGGGCTGATGGGCACGTGTCCACAGGTCAAACCCCCCAGCCCCTCCACGGGCGAGCGCTGCAGCGGTCTGTCCCTGTAAAGACTGACAGCCCTGGGAATGTTGCCATGAGCCGGAATAGCACTGGGTCTGGTTTGGGGTTTTCAAAGCTCACGCCAAGAGCCATGGTGGCACACGGCTACACGCGTGGCACTCTGAGCGCACCAATGTTGCAGGAGAACTGCTACACCAAGGTCCTCGCCAGGCCTCAGCCTGCGGGTGGCTACCATCGGCGCCGCCTCTGTGGCACACGGCAAAGCCGCCCATGGACCCGAGTCTGGAGCAAGGGCTTCACTGGCCCCTAAGCCACACAGCCAGAATGAAGTGGGTCCTGGACAAACTCCCCAGGCTAGGGTCTGGTTCAACGTCTTCACCACCCCTCCCACCCAGGCAGACCCTGACTCTGGAGATCAGAGATCGAGCACCATAACGCACCGGGGGTGGGGTGGGACAATCGGGGAGGCCAGGGGGTGCGTCTGTTAAAATGGAGCCTCCGTGGGGCGGCAGGGGCAGCATGGGGGCTTGGTGCCCCCTCTGAGCACCACAGACTCGAGTCCACACTCCAATGGGGGCCAAGGGCCAAGGCCATGGGTGAAGGAGGCTCCTCTTCCCAGGAGGGCTGCCCATCTGGTAGCAGCACCTTTCCACGGGCAAGCCTGGGCCCGCCACGTGCTTTGGACACACAGAACAGGGCTAGGACATCGGCACTGTGAGGACCGCCAGCCCCTCCTGAGACGGAGACACTGGCACCAAGTGGGGAGAGCCATTTCCCCCTCACCAAGGGGCAGGGCTGAGCCTTAGTCCAAAAGCTGCCCTCGCCATTTGAGGCCACACTAGGTCAGAGGGCACAAGGTAGGGCCTATGTCAAGACTTCCCCTCTGTGTTAGTCTGGGAACTTTAGAGAAACAACTCCACAGAAACTCATGTATAAGAGAGAGTTTTATATGAAGGTTAAGTGCACACCAAGAAAACATCCCAACCCAGTGCTGCCCAAGCCCACAAGCCCAACATT